GGGGCTCAATATTGTTATTATTGTCCTTTATTCATCCTTTTTCCTTTTCTTCCTCCTCTTTTTCCTCCTCCTCTTCCTTCTCCTCCTCCTTCCTCTATTTCCCCTTCTTATCCTCTCCTTTCCCGTAATCCATTATTCATTCATCTTCCTTACTTTTGTTTATTTTACCAACCTATTCTAAAACTTAAAATTTCCACTTCATTCATCCACTAATACCATAGTATGCCTCTCTTTATTTGTTACTTATATGTCTGTCTCTGTGCGTGTATTTATGTGTGTGTGTTTATTTGTTTGTTTGTCATGTAGTTGACAAATGCAAAGGATACGGTAACATTGGTGTCATCAGCAATCTATTTCACCATCTATCGATGACACGATGACACCAATTTTCATTTTTACCTTCAAATAAATTTAATTTCTTTTTCGTTTCTTGTCGAAAAAAAAAAAACGACAAACTGTTAAACGATGTCAACTGTAATAATTAAATTTTTTATTAAATAGATTTTAAATAATTGGATGAATTAGCACATCTTTTTGCAATTTCAACTTCCAATCCGGCATGGTTCAAATCCGGAATCATTCAGGAATGTGCAAGGAATACTTGAAATGGAACTTTTTTAACGACTGAAATTGCAATCATTGCTTAAATTTTAATTAAAACAATAATCCTACTCTATGCTATCAACCATTGTCATTAGCTTCCTATTACGATGTGACAGATAATTCCGTAACTTTTTAAATTCATACTTAAAATTTCACTATAAGAGTATGGGAAATATCTATTTACTGCTATTTCATTAAGTCTAGTTAAAATTATTCCTAAATGGCTAATTTGTTTCAAGTACAATCTAGGACATAATTTGATGAGAAAGAGTTTTTAAGGTATACGGAATATTAATTTCCCATCAATTAGGGTCAATATTTTCTAAGATTCTGAAAGATTACCTTTCTCGTTTCAATTCCCCAATCGTTCAATTCTGTTTTTCATTTCCTAAATTTTAGTACTCAATTTTTGCTTCCATCAGATACATCATTTTGGTAATTCCTCAGAGCTGATGATGCAATAATTGGCAGTGGCACATTAAGAATTCCACGGAATGGCGCCGATTCATCACTAACATTGCTACTTACAAAATGTCAAAACTACAAACATTCCATAAAAGTTCCCAAATTTTCATTTCATTTATTCAATTCCCTAATTTCTATTTTAAATTTGTATTTCAATTCTTTTTTATTCATTTAATAAATTCAAAAATTTTTGACCAATTATTAAGCTTTTTAAAACTTACATTTCAATTTGTCCTTTTTTTTTGGTTTGTTAAATATTTCATTAATTTGTCAAACTTTTTAAAAGTTGTACTTTCCAAACATTTCGTTGATTTTTTTTTAAAAAAAAAAAGGATTTGTAAAATTTGTAGGAAAGCATTCAGTGAAAGAAAAAAAAAATGCAACTCCTGCGGAAGTTAACACAATCAATATTTTTTTAAAGAAAAAAAACTTAAAATTAGCAAAAAAAAATTTGAAATTGGGAAAAAGGAACTTTAGTCCCATATTTTCAATTAATAAACATTATTTAGTAATGGAAAAACTAAACTGTAAGCAAACCAATCCTTCATATATCCGTCGTTTATTTTTGACATTTTCCTAAAATGTTCAATGATTGATTAGAGAAAGCCTACAATAAATGAACATTTCAGTTTTGTTAAACACAACAAAATGACTATTTTAAAATTGAACTTTTTTAAAACTATCAAAATTTCCATTTTCAAATTCAAATAAACAACAGTTCTTTGTTTAAAAAAAAAAAAAAAAGGACTGAAGATTATTGTCGAACCGTAGAAAATACGCTACTATTTCAAACTATACTAGCAAAAATAGGCGAAATTCTTTCAGAACAATCATAAAACCGGAAAAGAAACTTCTCTTACAATATTAATATGTAGTGTAGAATTAAAATTCATCATTCAATCATTTTCCGGAACATCATATCATGGAAGCATATCCGGATTTGCCATCATTATCAGCATTAAAAGATGATTTATCCTATCATTATTGAGATAAGCCCGCTATTAATATTTGATCTCTTCACGATAATCTTCGGTATCATAGCTTCCATTTTTCTTTTTTAAATTCAAATATTAACATTGTCTTCCTTTACACAATTATTATACAATAAAATCAATAAAAATTAATGAGTCAAATTTAACAAATCAATCAATAAAAGTTAACAGATTATTGAAATAATTTCAATTAACAAAAAGAAATAATTTCAATGCAATTCCAATTTTTCTTTTTCTTTTAATTTCTTTTTTTCTCTTTGAATTTCTTATTTTTTGATTGCCTCTTTTTTCTCTGAATTTTTTTTTTTAATTTTTTCTTTCTCTTTGAATTTCTTTTTTTTTCCTTCTTTTTATT